GCTATATATTTTTAATAAATTAAGAAAATCTAGCAGTAAAATAAATGATCTTATTGTCCTCACTGAGTTTTCAGTAGTAAACGGCAAAACAAAGCATGAATATATTGAGCAACCAGCCCCATGATCTTGCAAGAAATGGTTTGGTCCTCAGGTCCCGCCTTGGTGCAACAGGTTCCTGTCTGCCAGCAGCAGTTTGCTAATACTAGGACTTAAATGCCACACGCACGTAACTTGACAGTGACAACAAATAAAACATGAATAAAAAACTATGTAAATAAACAACAGAGGGGGGAATGTCCATGGTTTAGGATTGCAGCACCTCAAAAAAACAAAGTCTGGTTTTTAAAAAAGAACAGCAAGAAAGGAGAAAGAGGAGAGACTGCAGAAACACACAGTTTTCCAAGACAGGTCTGTTACTGGAGTAGTTCAAATGAATGGTAGATTATGAACCTGTTAAAGGAGGATTTTCTTTTTACTGGTGGATCATCTAAATAAGTGGTCCTCCTAATTGTCAGTCATTCTGGTGATATGTTTATGTAAGGTCGTTACGTGCACGTCCCCAGTTATTTTTTTTGTGCATGTGCACTTTCAGGTGTATATGTGTGGTGAAGCTCGCATGTCTCACTGCAGTTCTTTGAAAATGGTCAGGGTTGCAAGACAAAAAAGTGTCTATGAAGTTTATGAGAAGAGAAAAAAATGCCTCAGAAGAGGCAGATATGTCCCAGAATGCTTTGCCCAGAGAGCTCTCCTTGCAAAGCATTATGGGATTAGCTGTCACAGTGATAAAATAGACAATAGACAATTGCTTCTAAGTAACAAATGTGATCATTTAGTGAAAAAATTGGTTTGCATAACAGCTGACTGATTGCACAAGACTCCTACGTTAAGTCTGGAGCACTTAAAATGTGAGTAAAGACTAGAAGTAGGAGAAAAATGATGAATGCCACATTTTCTCCTGAATCACTGTACGAACGATTAGGAACAAATTTGTTCATACAAATGCTTCTTGCATGAGGCCCAGTGTCCTGTACTTCTGATGCCGTCTAGTTGGAGAAGTGCACCGGTCCCTCCTGCAGCTACAGAACCCCACAGCATGATGCTGCCACCCCTGTGTTTCACAGCTGGGATGAAGTTATTCCACCTTTTTCCTCAAAATGTCTTTATGTTCAAACAGTTCAGTTTTAGTTTTATCAGACTGAAGAACAAAAAAATGATGTCCTTTTCCCTGCATACATTCGCAAACTAATCTGACTTAATATGTTTGTTTTCGGGTAATGTCTTGTTCTTTCAGCCCTTGTTGGTCCAGGATGTATTTCACATTAATCAACTAACCAGGGTCAGCCAGCATCTTTACCAGATCTATGCTTTTGTTCTGGTATGCAAATTTGAGACCATTTATCTTTGGGACGCCAAACTTGTCTCCTATCTGAGTGCTGTGATGACTGGACAGTCCTGTGGTGTTCATACATGTGTGTTATTGTTTGAAAGGAAAGACTTGGCTCCTTTAGGGATCTAGAAAACTCACCGAAGGATAAACCCTCCTTAAAGGTCCTCATTTCTCTCCCTGACATCTTGGCTGATTTCTTTTGACATTCTTCTGTTGTTACGCAGCCAGACGAAGGGTTTTAATGTGCCTTTAAAACATCCACAGGCGGGCCTTAAACCAAATCTAATGTCAATAAACCTTTTATGGTATGACATCATGACCCTGATATCCTTAATTTACAAGATTGGTGACCAGCTGAAACTATTCTAATCCACTGATCATATCTACCGATGTAAAGGTCTAAAAGTCAGCTGTCTTGTATAGTTAGCAAGTTCTATTATTTCACAAGTATTTTTAAACTTGTTTCAGTAAAATAACATTGAAACACCAAAGGTATAATTATAATACTATAAAAACTGTTATAAAATAAACACATGTGGGTTAACATTTGAGTGACTATGTCCGATTTATTAAAAATCTCTGATTGGTCAGAAAATCCCTACTTTTGTTATTCTGACATTTAGCATATAGAAATTATTTTGGTCATTCTAACAGACCTTAAATATGAAAAAGTATTCAGATAATTGATATCTCATAATAACTATGATGGCAAACTCAGTTTTGCATTATATCCTGGATTTTAACTGTTGGATTTTTACCCCTTAAGTGTTTTTTCTTCAATATTGAGACTGATCCTGATACTGAATCAGTGGATCTCTGGGTTCAAACTTGCTTCAGTTTTAGTCAAGATGTTGATTCCTTAAATCAGAGGCTTTTTGTTGGGGTAACAGGGATTTTCATGGTGTTTCACAAATAAACCAGGCATCGAAACAGCTGCAGCAATGCTGTTTTGGTCTTACCTGTAACTAAGAACCACATTTACATCTAGATCTATCTTTCGATCTATTGAACCCTATTAAAACACCCAAGCAAAAAATCCTTCTAAAACCCTCTGGACTCTACAGGTTAGAAGGAACAAACACTAATATAGTTATTATTAACAATGTTCAGCAGTAATGAAGGAAACAGAATTTGATTTCATAATTATCTCCTAACTTTTAAAAACTTTTATTCCTGGCGGCTGCTTCGCGGGGTCTGGCCCTCTGGGGCTCGGTTGGGGCTCCCGCCAGGGGAACGGGCGCCTCTAGGGCGTCTGTTGTTTTGGGTCCCCCAGCGCTTGCCTCAGTGCTCTGGGGGGCGGGTCTTTGGCTCTTCACAACCACTAGTGAGCATTTTTCCTTTGGATAAACTTTACATGCACAAGTGCACTCTCACAAACCACTACAGGTGCTTGGTTTCAGGTAGGTACTTAGAGATTCACTTCCATACAGAAAGCCCATATTCTGATCTTCAGCTTCGACAGTATACATGTCAGATTAAATAATACCACTTATACTTCAACAATAGTATCAATGTGGTACTTTAGTACTTCTTTCTTTTACATCTCTCCTTGCAGGTGATGAAGCAGACTAAAGATGTTTTATCTTTGTCTCCCTTTTATCTCCTTTTTCTTTCATCCTTTCTCCTTTTTCCTGTTTCTCCTTTCCTGTTCTACTTACAGTGCAGTGTCCATATAATCTGCAATACTCCCTGCATGATTTATAATAAAGCTATTTACATGCATAAATCAAGCGGAATGCTATGGCGATAGCCCTACTACTCCAGTTGTGAAAGTAAAATCTGTTGGGCTCTTTTTTGGCATTAAGACATTTATTCTTATTGCCACATTGCCAGACAGGAGACTGAGGAAAAAAATAAATATAACAAATAAAAACTGGCTGGAAGGTTGATGTGATATGATTAGTTATTAGATGATAAGGTATACATACTGTTCCCAACAACCTCAATAAGTTGTTGTATTCATGCTGATTTTGCACAGTTTCTACAGTAGTGAGTTAAATAACAGACAGCTGTAATTTTGCACATCTCTGATGTTGCTTCTATTTTTGAAATATCCATTACTGTAAAAAAGTCCATTGCTGTATATTGGTTAGTTATTTTCCAGGTGCACAGTATTTATATTGTTAAAACATTTTACAGCACAGTATTTCATTTATTTTGTTTTTTAATCTTCACTATTATCTTATAATAAGCTCAACATTTGTGTGACCATTTTTTCTAGAATCTTTTTGCTGCTGCAAACACCAGAATTTCCCCATTGTGGGACAATAAAGGGATTTTCTATTCTATTCTATTCCATATTGAGTAATAGAGAAATGAGGATTAAACCACTGGAGAACAGTGAATGTTGCTTCCTGGAAATTCTTGAGTATAAACATGTAGACATTTGATCCTAATATAAGTTTTAAAACAATCCTTGGAGTTATTTTGGCACATAGACAATCCAGTATATGACATTATAGAAACATAGAAATGCACCGTATGGGGAAAAAGGGCCTTATTAAATGGAGTCTTTTCAAAGGGCTGCTTTACACAGACTCCCATAGCGTGTAGGGCTGGTTGAAAGCAACAGCTGGAGCTAAAGTTAGAATATGAGGCAGCTTATTTTAGTTAGCAGGGTCCCTTCCTTTGGAACCAGCTCCCAGTGTTAGTCTGGCTCCCTGACAACATGTCTGCTTTTAGGACTCAGCTTATAAAAAGCCTTGTAGTTAGAGCTGCGTAGTTTGCCCAAGCTATCTGTAGCCATGATGCTACATCCCACCTCTGCTACCTTCTCTTTAGTTCTCAAGCTAAACTAACTCTTTTGTTGTTTCTGCATTCAGCTTTTTGTGCCATCTCTGGTTCTTCATTTCTTCTTAGAGGCCACATCTGGCATGGCTTTCCTTTCAGTCGTGTCTCCTTCCTGTCGGTGGGCATCGACTGGGCTATAAGAACTTTTTGCCCTCTCTCAGTGTACCGTCTTTCATCCTGTAGCCATTTTGTCCAAACCTTTAGCCATGTAGGAAAAAACTGTAAGGAGGAAAGTAATGAGTAAATAAAAATGCAGGAACTCATTGTTTTAGTTTTTCTTGATCAGCAATAAGGTTTACATGAAATATTTCAATGAGTTAAAGAAAAGAGTATTTTTCTCCTTAGAAATGGATATGTCTAGGAGAGATACAGGACTAAACACTGAAAAACAGGCCCAGCTGTATCATCTATAATCCAAGATGTTGGTGGCAGCAGCACAGCTGATATTTCTCTCCAGGATAGAGTTACAGCCAAACAGGAACAGACCAGATGAAGCTACTATGACAGGAAAAAGAAATAAAACATCTTACCAACCACTCAATAGTTTTTAGTGGGCTTATGATAAAGATACTGGTTTAATAATGAAGCTAACAGGGTTATCGTTAAGTTAACAGGCTTATAGTGAAGTTAAATGAAGTTAACAGGGCTTAAATGAAGTCATAGGATTATCACAATATTGGTCCACTGAGGTCACGCCAATAACTGTACTATTTAATGTTTGTTTTACATTTGGAGAAAACCTCAGGTTCAGTTATTCAGTCAGGCCCAATCTTGGCTGAATAAATCACATTTGTTGTATTTTCTTTGTTCTTTAATCTCAAAGCTTTAGACCTGGATGTGAAGACGTCTCATTCCAGCAGACAGACTCTCTCTGAGCAGCTCTTCACTCAGGAGCTGCAGAGCAACCCTCCTGCTGGCTTTGTTGACTTCCAGCACACTGAACACCTCTCTCAGGGACCTCATAGCGGCCCCCAGGGGACGTTCAGAGCTTTTGACTGCCCCAGCATCGAAATCACCTCTATTGCCCACAACAATCATGCCGAGCCTGGCGGTAACCTGGAGGTTTCAGCGGAGATTGGAGCAGAGGGGGGCTACCCTGAGCTATGGTGGTCCAGAGACCAGCTCTACTTGCCTCTGGACGCTTGCTATCGGGAAGCAGCACTCAGCCCCAGTCCCTGCAGCAGCCTCTCCTCCAGGAGCTGGATGTCTGACCTCTCTTCATGCGAGTCTTTCTCCCGAGGTTGCGATGATGTAAAGGGAGAACTACAAGACTCCGCCCTTCTAGCTCTGGGGTCCCCAGGATGTGGGGGCGGGGCCTTTGGAGTGGAGTTATGGCAGCAGAAGTACCAGCATCCATCAGCTTTCAATCCAGTGCCATCCCCCTATCAGTCACCTCGGCAGTCACCTTGTCACTCTCCGCGCACCAGTGTCACAGAGGAGACATGGCTGAGCCGGCGGCCTGCCTCCAGGTCAGTAGACTACATTCATTCATTCTTTCCAGTAACACTTTAAATCTTTTTTTTCCTGTTGGTTTTCCACTCTGACCCTGATCTACTGGGATCCCAAACAGACACCACCGCATTTTCTGCGACAACAGAAATTCTCCTTATGAGAAAGCCCAAAGCAACAGTTTAACACCAACATAAAGACTAAATAGATGCAGTAACAGGAACAACCATCCGGTTTAGTGTTGATAAAGTGCATTGTGGTAAATAACATCTGCGGATCCTCACCAAAGTAATTTCCACATAGCAATAAGCATAATATATTTAGCATATTCCCCATTTACCTCATCTCCCATATGTCATTCTACCTGGTCCTGGTTAGTAGATCAGCGTTGTGCTCACTATCAAGCTTTAATGTTTTTAAACATGACTATCCTTTAGTAGATTATGCCTAATACGGCATAATATGTATAATCAATGATAATCAATATAATCCTCATTCATTGGATTATGTAAACAATACAATCTGTAGATTACTGATTTGATCCATAATGTGACCTAAACTCAGGCTGATTGGAGCAACGCCTACATGACCAGAGTTCACTGGTGACCATGTAGTTGATAAATGCTTTTAGTTTTTAGGTCAGAACGGACCACTTGGGTCTATTTGAAGTCTCCATGGACTCTACTTTCTGCATTGTGGAATCACTGGAATCTGGTCTGATCAGCTTTCCAAACCATGTTAATGATCCCATTTTGTCCATCATTCAGAGCAGATAGGCGACCCGTTCAAGGTTGCTTTGGATCCCTGTTGTTTTTTGTTGATTGTGGAATGAGAATGATATGAAATAGCTGACTTTCCATCACAACTCATTAATAATTTAAAGTGTGGCTGCAGTTTTCCATGAATGACGCAGATGTTCCACTAAGTTTGTAGCCTGACGTAGTCCGACTCAATTCTAGTCAGAATATGAGTCTGATACTGCTCCATAGAGCTGTGATTATGGGGCGTGTTTCGAACGAACCAGGAAAAAAAATGCCTCTGCACTCAATTGGATAGATCTACAGCCAATAAGAGCAATGGAGTGCGTGACGTATGTTAAGCGATGCATAGTTGTTGTCAACATAAATCAAAGCGTGCAGTTGCACGCCTAGAATAAGAAGATGAGACTTGATCGCGTTTCTTTGTTCCTCTTTTAAAATTAATTTGCTGTCGATATCTTCTAGAACAGACCTAATAGCAGAATCTACTCACCTAAACTCTCCAGCGGCAGCCATTATTGTTGTCACCCAAGCGCGCTTTGGTCACGTGGTTGATTACGTTACTGTTGGTCATCTGTCCATCATCGTATAAAGCCCGCCCTGACAATTTGATTGGGTCGCCTGACAGTGGGCGATAATACTCGCGCTACTATGGAGCAGAGCTAGACCGAACTTCCCGACCTCAAACCTTGTGGGCGGGACTAAGTTCGGAATGGCACCCAGGCTACTAAGTTTGTGGGCCTGGGTTAGAACCAGCCTTTGCTTTGTTGGGACCTGTATATTTATAGTCCCACACAGCAACAGACCAGCTTTAAGGAATTGATGAAACTCCAGAAAACGTATCCCTTTAGCGAGCATTTATCTTATTTTCTAAGTGAAGTAAAAGATGACTGCAATAAAATTAAAGATCCATAATGAGCTTCCTCTCATAGGCCGTCATCCAGACCAACATCTCCTTGTGGGAAGAGACGCCACTCCAGTGCTGAGCCCCGTGGCCGCTCACCATCTCCTCATCACTCACCTAGCCCCACCCCAGGTACCTCTCCACGGGGAAGCGTGACTGATGAAGTGTGGGTTGGAAGCCCCGCCACTGCCCTTGGATCCCTCCTCATTTCTGGATGCCAGGAGCTGGATGTTCCTTCTAAAACCAGGAGGACATCTGGGAGCCACCTTGGCCTACTTATGGGCCAAGGAGACCCTGGTCTGGAGACCTACCAGGATTCTCCTGGAGAGGAGGGACAAGAAAAAGCTGACCTTGCAGAGCTCTTCCTTCATGTGCCTTCCCACTACGACTGGAACAAACCCAAATCTGGAAACGCACCGTTGTTTAGGTCAGTGGTTCTGATTTCTCTGTCCTTCCCTTCTTTGTATAGAACGGCTGAGAGGGGAGCTCATTCTTAATGCATCAGGAGAAAATAAACTTAAACTAGGTCTCTGGTTGTTAACATTATTGTTCTTCTAGAGTCTGTTTAGATTTTAGTCTTATTACTGATGGAGGAAGCTGAATGATCCCTGGTTCATTACTGCTCATATTGTTTCACTCATGGATGTTTTTTCTAATTAATATTTCCCTCCAGTGGTTTATCGCCCCCCCCTCTGGACTGGCCTCTGCCCAGCCAGTATGATCACATCAGCCTGAAGCTGGAGGTCCAGCCCCGGTCCTACCACAGAGCCCATTATGAGACCGAGGGCAGCAGAGGATCCATCAAGGCAGCTGCTGGAGGACATCCTGTCGTCAAGGTACGTTCAGGAGCCACAGGGCTGACGGAGAGTTTGGTTTCAGTTGGTAGCAAAGAAATGGCCAAAAACGAAGAACTGCATTTGACAAAAGAACAATCGGAATACATTTACACCAACAGAGGAATCTGTCTGTGGTTCTGTAAGAACCATGTTCTATGTCCTCTAGAACCCTCCAAGCCCTTAAGGACCGTGTTTTATATATTTTAAAGGAACCCTTTTCTACGGTCTAGAAGAACTCCGTTCCGTATCCTTGATAACGTTCTATGTACTTTAGAAGAACCCTGTTTTCCTTCTTTACAATTCTGCTTTATGTCCTTTGGAACCCGTCTCTATGTCGTTAAGAACTGTTCCTTGTCCTTTAGAAGGACCATGTTCTATGTCCTATAAACCCCTGTTTTAAGTCCTTTAGAACCCTATTCTACGTCCTTTAGATAGAAACTAACCTGAAAATATCAGAAAACAGGAAACTGGATCTACTGTACAGATGAACCCTCTAAAAACTGGTTACTTAACCCTGTATTGGGTGCTGTAGTACAGAGTAATATTAGAAATTCTCTGTCTAGAACATATATACTAATTTAATATTAAATACAAACATGAAAGGGTAAACTATGCACTATATTAAGTTATATTATTTGTTCGGAATCTTCATACTACAAATCCAGATCTGATTGTTGGTTCTTTAGCTCGGTTTTGTCAGACCTCTGCCAGGAATCTTGGTTTCGCTTTCGACAGCTGTTTAAAGCTAGATAAACAAGTTAGATCTGTTGTTAGATCAAGTTTTTATCACCTGCGGATTTTAACAAAAATTTAATCCTATTTTTCTTTTAAGGACTTATCCATGCTTTCATTACATCCCAATTGGATTATTGCAATTCATTATATAGAGGCATGAATAAATCACAGATGCAGCGACTTCAATTGATCCAGAACGCAGCGGCTCGGCTTTTTACTGGAACCAGGAGGCGTGACCATATAAGGCCTATACTGGCCTCTTTACATTGGCTGCCTGTCTTTTACCGAATAGATTTTAAAATTCTCTTATGAACTTATAAAGTCTTAAATGGATTAGCTCCTCCTTATCTTAGAGACATTTTAAAATTCCAGTCTGTGTCGAGAAGTCTACGCTCTAATAATCAACTATTACTGACAGTTCTTTGGACTTGACTTAAGAGGAAAGGAGATCGGGCCTTCTCTGTTGTTGCTCCAATTCTGTGGAACCAATTACCTCTTCAAATTAAATCCGCCCACAGCCTGGATCATTTTAAATCTTCTTCTTCTTAAAACGTAGTTTTATTCTTCGGCTTTTAATTGAAGCAGTGTTTCACATTCTGTTTTGTTTATTGATGCTTTTGTCTTTCCTGTAAAGCACTTTGGTGCAGTTTTATACCTGTTTTTAAAGTGCTATATAAATAAATTTGATATTGACATTATATTGTTTATTAACCTGTGAATTGAATAGTTTTTTCAAAGGAAGCTAAATGTGTTGAGATGTTTAGTTCTGCATCTAAGTAGCTGTTAGCAGAGAGGTTGTGTAACCTGTAACCTGTTTTTGGGGGACAGGAACAACACAGTCCAGCTGTAAACATTGGGATGACAGATGATGAGCTCCAGACGTTTCCCTTTTGAAAGAGGAAAAAACAACAAATAACGTGTTCTTGTTTAGTTTTTTTGTTGTTCATGTAAGAGGGATGCGGTTTGCATGTTGTTTATCAGATGTGGCATTCTCTCTGCAGTTGAATGGATACAGTGAGCAGCCTGTTCACCTGCTGGTGTTTATTGGCACTGCAGACGACCGATACCTCCGTCCTCACTCCTTCTACCAGGTCCACCGAGTGACGGGGAAAACCGTTACCACCGTCTGCCAGGAAAAAATGATGGACGGCTACAAAGTGCTCGAGATCCCTCTACTTCCTGAGAGCAACATGTCTGCCAGGTAGAAGAGGCAATCGCACCACAATAGATTTGGTTTCTTTCTGTGTTTAAAGTCGGACTGAAACTAGGAACATCTTTCTGCACTTGAGTGGAATCCAGTTCATTCAGAGCTTTATTAAATAGTCTAAATTCTGCCCTCAGATTGGCTGTAAATTTACACTACTGAGTGGGATGATTTTTATTTTTAATGATCAATAAAATAACAAAATACTTTAAAAGAAAATGGAAAAGTGCAATAAACAACAGGGAAGAACTTTTTTAGTTTGTTGATAGCAGTTCTTCTAAAGGAGGAAGGATCTGTGATTCCACTTCTTTATGCACCGAGGCTGCAGCAGACATTATTAAAAGCAGCTCAATCCAACAGCGGTTCTGATGTTTTGGGCCTGCGTTGCATCTGGGTGTGTCATGGAACGGAGCTGACCTTTCTGATGATAACTTCTTCTCAGAGGTAGATAAGCTGCTGCTTCTACAAACTACAGATCACAAGATGGATGATGGTTAATGCCAACACATCCATCTCTGTATCAGTCAAAGCTAATGGCAGCACTTCTCTGCTGGCATCAAAGCTGTGCAGGGAGTTGCTGTGACCCTGAGAGGCAGAGGGACTTTAAACTGGTTCCCTCCACGGTTCCCTCTGGTAGATTCTTGTCTTCCTGTTTTTAATATCCTTCCTACTGTTTCATTACCTGAATGTTTTGTCTGATACCCTGAAGAGCTCCGTGTAACCTTTAGATTTAAAGTAACCACACCTTTTTATTTCTATGTTTCACCTAGCATCGACTGCGCCGGCATCCTGAAGCTGAGAAACGCTGACATCGAGCTAAAGAGAGGCGAGACGGACATTGGGCGGAAGAACACCAGGGTCCGCGTTGTATTTCGAGTCGCTGTGCCTCAGCAGGACGGCCAGATGCTGTGGCTCCAGGCAGCATCTATTCCTGTGGAGTGCTGTGAGTGGATTACGGCAGCTTATCAGGATGAGCTACATGCAACAACCCAGATCATTTTCTTTTCACCATCTGACATCAAATCAGAACGATTAACTTTTCCTGCTGTGGCTGAGTGAGGATTTTGAATGACCAAAGGTTCTGGTTTGTGCTGTTTGCTACTTTGATTGGATTACTTTGCTTTTAAACGGCTTGCCTAACCCAGATGAAGCAGCTTTGGTTGTAATTATCATGTAAGTTAGAATGATCATTTCAAAGCACAGTTGAATGCTTTATCACACTTTTTAAAGCTGCTCAAAGTCAACTATCAACTTATATTAGGAAATACAGCCTTCAGCTTTACAGAGCATTCGTTTGTTATGGAGCATCAGTTGTTTTCTAGAACAATACTTTCCTTCCCTGTGAGAGTGTCGCCCATTTCATGACGTCGCTGGAACAAAGTCTGAGACCTCTCACAGCTGAAAACTACATTTTTGCAAATTAAGCATGAGCTGAAAAAGACCAGCTGCTGTCCCAGTGCAGATTAGGTGCTGAAGCAGCCACTCATGTAGAGCAGAAATAATGCAACGCTGCTTCACTTCCCTGCTGCAGGTCAGAGAAAGCGGCATTTTGTTAACTGAGCAGGCACAGCGCAGTCAAAGGTAGATGCGTAGTGGAGGACTTTTCAGCATAGAATTGTCTTAACCAGTTATTTTTTCCTGGAGGGGGACAGGGGTTATGGTGCTCAGAGAGAAGAATTTAGGAGGATTACTCTGACATGCAGATGTCTCCTTGGACCTGATTTTTATGGAAAAAAAACAAAAACAAAAAAACAGTATTGGAACAGTTAGTAGCTGACATAAGTTGATCCGTTCAAACACCTTAGGTCAAATGTTTTTAAATCCAAACACTTATCTGTTTCTTTGGTTTTTTTTGTTTTTTTTTTATCCTGGAGATCAATGATACCTTAAACTTAGTCTTTTTGAGTCCTAAACTATAAATCAAAAAAAAAAAACTGGGGTGTCTGAAATGGCTTAGGGTTGTCCCAATCCGATATTGATATCGGATTGTGACAACTGATATATTATATCGATATATTAGCCAGAAAAACAGCGTATAAAATCTCTGATAAAAAAAAAAAACGAGGAGATAGTGCTAAATCTAGGAATTGGATTTATCGTAGTGGTGTGTCAGTGTCATTATTCTGTCCTCGGTCTGCTTGTTGTTCCTGACAACAGTTTGTGCTTGAGGAAATGTTCTTGGTAATAAATGGATTGAGTCGATATTAATGCATAACCCTGACAACTTCTGTAGAGAAACCTTGGCCAATTGTGTTTAGTGATAATATGATCAGAACTCTGAAAAATTATTTTGAAGCAAGGTAAACATGAGGGCAAGTCTCATTCTTCAATATCCCATTAAGTGTTTCTAATATGCTTTACTGGAATACAATATTTAGGTCAGATTTTCTATTTTTTTTCCACTTTTACAAATCCATAGAAATACTCAGACACACTTGTCATATTAAACTAATCAGGTTTGTGGTGGAAGAGTTGGTTTCTTTTAGATTTATTAATGATTCAATTGAATTCAATTTAATTTATATAGCGCCAATTCACAACACACGTCATCTCACCATTTTAGTAATGTCAATTGATAAAACCTTTTCTAACATTCTACAGTACAGAATAGGTCATAAAAGTGTGCATGATTTGTGCTAATATCGTATCTCGTCAATATCGGTATCTATTATTTCTCAATGCTACAATATTGGTATCTTATCGGAAATAAAAAGGTTGTACTGGGACACCCCTAATGGTAGTGGAGCTGATAATAAGGATGGAGTTGATTGTTTAATAAATTGGTGTGATCCGACTTGGGGGAAAGAGGCACTGTTCGCTCTGAGGAAATACAGCTGCTGTCTTAGAGAGAAGAGGATGAGGAAGGATTTTAAGGCAAAGCTGTTGTCTTCCAGCCCAGCGATCAGGCCAGGAGCTTCCTCAGGTCGACAGCTTCTCTCCAACCAGCTGCTTCATAGATGGAGGAGAAGAGCTGCTCATCACTGGATCCAACATGTCTGCTCAATCTAGAGTCGTTTTCATTGAGAAAGGCCCTGGTGAGATACATTTCTGCTTTAAAAGGAAATCTTTAAACTGTGAGGATTTTCAGTTTGATTAATCAGTTTCTACCCATGCTTCAAAATCCTAGATGGAAGATCACTTTGGGAGGTGGATGCCAGGGTTCTATCAGATAAGAGTAATGAAGTGAGTAACTCTTTCTAATTTCTTTACATCTATGATTAAAGTAGGAACATCTATGATTCTTCAGCAGTCCAAATCTTTATCTTCCACTCACTTCCATGGCTGCATAAAAAGTTGGATGGAGAGACACTTTACCCTCCCCACAATAGAAAACTGCTGGATCAGGGCAGCAGAGGGAACTCTGGGTCATTCTGTAAACTCTAGTGAAGACTGTGACAGAATAGATAAAGTTGCTCAATGCAGAATCAGACCAAATGGAATCAGACAAAGTAGAATCAGACCAAACAGAACCAGACCAAACTCGTGTCCTCACCAAGTTTGTTCTTGAGAAGAACGCAGGAAAGTGTGGACTTGGTAAGAACGCGAGCACACAGCATAAATAAGGGTCAATTGGAACAGAACCATACTCATGACGTCACCACATGCTTTGCTCGTCAGGAGCTGCATTTCACCTCCTGTTATTAATGGTCTCTAGATAATAATAAATTCTTACTTTTTTCATTTATTGGGGGAATAATGGTTAACACAGTCAAATAAACACAAATCAAATGAACATTTTGCCAAATAAAACAAAAAAAAACTTGCCATTGGAGCCAGCGGTTCTTCACACATGGCTATGCTGAGAGAGGGCTGCTGCAGACGGGCTAACATTAGCCCTTGCTGCCATTACCCTCGGTGCTCTGCTGGTTGCCGCGGTCCCCTCATCTTCAGAAATGTTTTTTTAAATCATGCACTAAATCAATAAATGGGCCATATTGTGACGCTTTAAAGTATAATGTTCTCGCCTCAAATGATCTTAAAACTTACTTTTATTGAACAACGGCAACAGAAAAGAGAACTTTTAACTTAATACCCCGAGCTCTGTGAGCGCTCCACTAGAAGCTGCTGCTGCCGAGGTGCATGCTGGGACAGCTGTCAGACTGGAGAATGGACAAGTGTGCTCTGATGCATACTCGCTAAATAGGGAGGGGCGAGAACATTATCCGGGGACTTTGCCTGTTCTCTACCTGATGTTCTTCTGAATTGGTGAAACAGTACTAGGGCTGAGGCTGATGACGTTTCACGAGTACACAAGCACATGAGAATGCACAATTACACATATTGAGAAACAGCCAGAATCAGACCAGAGAAATTCTGCAGTTGTTTTCCTCCAATCAGAAGAGGAGATTCCAGGGGCTATCTTCCAATCACAGCGGTTGTCTTTAAAAGTCGGTTTATGCTTGATGCATCTGTGAGGTCAGCGCACTGACATGGACGGTTCTATGTGGAAGAAAACGGTGGCGAGGGTTCTAAGTATCTACTGACATCTTATGATTTGTTCCAGAAGGTTCTATGATCAATTATCTGTTGACAGGATGCTTTCAGTTTGCTCCACACTGCCCCCTAGAGTCTATCAGCGAGGAACAGCTGCTTAGAATATAAAACACCACAGATGTTTATGAGCAATGTTCTGCTCAAACATGGGTGCATGAAGCAGAAACGACCTCCAATCCTGTGTTTGGAGGTCGTATCTCGTCCTGAGAGCTCAGACTGTGCCATGTAGTCAGGAGAATGGCTGAAATAGTAGCAGACCATCATAGTCATCTGTTTCTTCCAGATATCTTTAGCTCAGAACTGCAGAAACTTCTAAAGATGAATCAGGAGAACCTTCAAGAACATCCAGAGTTGCACTGAAAATTCTAAAACCTCTGATTGAAATGTCCCACCATTGTTTATACTCAGAAAGAAACATCAGGATAAAAGCCGAATGAGGAATGATCTGTTGTATGGATCCACCAGCATCATAACCTGTTTTTTGTTTTCAGTCCAGGATCACGGTGGAGGTCCCCCCTTATATGAAGAGGATAACGTCCCCTGTCCAGGTCCAGTTCTATGTCTCAAATGGGAAGAGAAAGAGGAGCCTGATGCAGAGCTTCACTTACCTGCCTGGAATCAGAAGTCCTCCTCACCCTCCTCCTGTGGTCAAACAGGAACCCTGGGAGTCTGAGCTCCTCTTCTGTCCAGAGCCCAGCCTGCTGCCATCCCATAATGCCATGCTCCGCCCAGATGGAGCTTATGACCCTCTGCATGGTCTCCCTCCCCAGAACTCTTCTCATCAACAGCATCCTGCTGCATTCGCTCTGTCCCTTCAAGCATTGCCGCTGTTCCCTCAGGTGCCTTCAGCACAGTGTCAGACCATGAGTTTATTTTCAAACCAGGCTCCAATGGCTGCTCAGTCAGCTCCAAATCATGCACAGGTGCCTTCTCCACCCATCCCAAGCCCAAATGTCCCCCATCATGCCTCTGCTGGTGGTCCTCCCAGGAAACTATCTGGAAGCCCCAGGAATACTCTGGATCCCTCAGGAGAAGTGCTGCATGTCAAGGAGGAGCCTAAGGAGCAGCCGGTTCTGGGGTCCTTGGGCTTCCAGGAGATCACCCTGGATGATGGTAAGAACCAAACTAGGAACCTAAATCTAACCTTTGACCTCCTTAGTTTTCACTAGTTGGACCACACATTTCTCAGTCTGGGACGTCCATGTCTCCAAATCGCAGTCAACTTAGGGAAGCAACACACTGTTGCCTAAAACTCTCCAGAACAGCAGCTTTTTGGTTTAATGGGTTGACAGCTAGAGGTAGTTCAGAATCAGAACCTTGGCTCACATGATTATGCTACTGCTGGCTGGATTTTACTAGATCCTGTCAGGTATGCTGAGAGGGAGAAAGATGAACGAGATTCTCGCCTGACCTTTGCTATCATCGCACTGGATCAAAGCAGCCCTGAGGCTGATGAGGTCTTTCCAAATACAGAACCAGCCGCTCTGAGCACTGACTTGTTTAGGAGTCTGTCCATCGGTCCTGTTTGCNGGGACTTTGCCTGTTCTCTACCTGATGTTCTTCTGAATTGGTGAAACAGTACTAGGGCTGAGGCTGATGACGTTTCACGAGTACACAAGCACATGAGAATGCACAATTACACATATTGAGAAACAGCCAGAATCAGACCAGAGAAATTCTGCTGTTGTTTTCCTCCAATCAGAAGAGGAGATTCCAGGGGCTATCTTCCAATCACAGCGGTTGTCTTTAAAAGTCGGTTTATGCTTGATGCATCTGTGAGGTCAGCGCACTGACATGGACGGTTCTATGTGGAAGAAAATGGTGGCGAGGATTCTAAGACATCAGTATCTACTTACATCTTATGATTTGTTCCAGAAGGTTCTATGATCAATTATCTGTTGACAGGATGCTTTCAGTTTGCTCCACACTGCCCCCTAGAGTCTATCAGCGAGGAACAGCTGCTTAGAATATAAAACACCACAGATGTTTATGAGCAATGTTCTGCTCAAACATGGGTGCATGAAGCAGAAACGACCTCCAATCCTGTGTTTGGAGGTCGTATCTCGTCCTGAGAGCTCAGACTGTGCCATGTAGTCAGGAGAATGGCTGAAATAGTAGCAGACCATCATAGTCATCTGTTTCTTCCAGATATCTTTAGCTCAGAACTGCAGAAACTTCTAAAGATGAATCAGGAGAACCTTCAAGAACATCCAGAGTTGCACTGAAAATTCTAAAACCTCTGATTGAAATGTCCCACCATTGTTTATACTCAGAAAGAAACATCAGGATAAAAGCCGAATGAGGAATGATCTGTTGTATGGATCCACCAGCATCATAACCTGTTTTTTGTTTTCAGTCCAGGATCACGGTGGAGGTCCCCCCTTATATGAAGAGGATAACGTCCCCTGTCCAGGTCCAGTTCTATGTCTCAAATGGGAAGAGAAAGAGGAGCCTGATGCAGAGCTTCACTTACCTGCCTGGAATCAGAAGTCCTCCTCACCCTCCTCCTGTGGTCAAACAGGAACCCTGGGAGTCTGAGCTCCTCTTCTGTCCAGAGCCCAGCCTGCTGCCATCCCATAATGCCATGCTCCGCCCAGATGGAGCTTATGACCCTCTGCATGGTCTCCCTCCCCAGAACTCTTCTCATCAACAGCATCCTGCTGCATTCGCTCTGTCCCTTCAAGCATTGCCGTTGTTCCCTCAGGTGCCTTCAGCACAGTGTCAGACCATGAGTTTATTTTCAAACCAGGCTCCAATGGCTGCTCAGTCAGCTCCAAATCATGCACAGGTGCCTTCTCCACCCATCCCAAGCCCAAATGTCCCCCATCATGCCTCTGCTGGTGGTCCTCCCAGGAAACTATCTGGAAGCCCCAGGAATACTCTGGATCCCTCAGGAGAAGTGCTGCATGTCAAGGAGGAGCCTAAGGAGCAGCCGGTTCTGGGGTCCTTGGGCTTCCAGGAGATCACCCTGGATGATGGTAAGAACCAAACTAGGAACCTAAATCTAACCTTTGACCTCCTTAGTTTTCACTAGTTGGACCACACATTTCTCAGTCTGGGACGTCCATGTCTCCAAATCGCAGTCAACTTAGGGAAGCAACACACTGTTGCCTAAAACTCTCCAGAACAGCAGCTTTTTGGTTTAATGGGTTGACAGCTAGAGGTAGTTCAGAATCAGAACCTTGGCTCACATGATTATGCTACTGCTGGCTGGATTTTACTAGATCCTGTCAGGTATGCTGAGAGGGAGAAAGATGAACGAGATTCTCGCCTGACCTTTGCTATCATCGCACTGGATCAAAGCAGCCCTGAGGCTGATGAGGTCTTTCCAAATACAGAACCAGCCGCTCTGAGCACTGACTTGTTTAGGAGTCTGTCCATCGGTCCTGTTTGCTGTATTTGTTTAGTGAATTGCATTAATACTGAATGGGTCTATTAAGTGAATAAATCAGTTATTGAAAGAATCATTTAATGAATGAATCACTCAGGGAATAGATCTTTGGCCCAATCCTAAGCACTAACCGTCTGTTTGCGCGTTCCCAGGGAGGGTCTGACATATTAAGTAAGGAAGTGGTTCCAGAAAGCGCCGTGTGGCTGCAGGTTTTTCTTTCCAACCAAGCTATGGCACAATAGACTCCAGTCATCTCATCAAGGCATCATTTTCAGATTGGACTCACTTTAATAAGGAATTAACTATAATATCAGATTACACTCATTTTAAAACTTTTGTTGTCATTTTTCATATGCACAGTATATACAAACCGAAATTTTGTTTTGTTTCTTAAAGTGCAGCAATTATCAAATGTAAACAGTGTGGGAGAAAAAACATGGTGCAAAAAAACACATTGATATGGAAGTTCAGAGCATTAAATATATATATGGTGCAATTATGCAGTGTTAAAACTAGAACAACTGAATAATCCTGTCATCAGACTGATGAAAGTGGCTCTAAATCAGATTAAATTCCAAATAATGTTTGATGCTGTATTGTATTTTACCCCTCGGAGCGTTTCTGCTGCTTAGTGTTGGTGAGCTAAGCTAATATTAGCCCTGTCTGCTGTGAATGAATCTGGGTTGGACGATACCAGCTGTCATCCCGACCGGCCATCAGCCTGGTTCCCAGCAGCAGCAGCTGTTCTCCCATTTGGGAGCCCAGTGTTTACTGGTGCATGCTGGGAGCTTCCAGCATTGCAGTTACTGTACTAGCCATAAATATGGACATGCTCTCATGGTGCATCAGCAGCATTCAAAGAGATATCGTTTTCCTGGACAAGCTGTGAAGTCTGCAGAACCGCGTCTACATTAGACGGTAGATGGACCAATGATCTGGGTTTAATATTGGTTATTTTCATTCATTATTGGTGAATATTTTAATATTTTTCATGAGAAAAAGATAATGTCTCAGAAAAACAGAAGTAAAATAGGTGAACTGGTTTCCATGTTCTACTCCGATCCAGGGTCAGGGTTACATAGATGATAAAACGGTGTCATAAAAAATGTTTGGGTCTATTCTGAACCTGATGCCACAGTGTAAACAGAAATCCAGTCCCTACCAATGGATAATTTCTGGGTTTGTTTAAGTATTTTATCATAGATTTTGATGGACGAGGTTTCCTTCTTTTTCCTTCTCAGACAGGGCCAAATGTGAAGCTAAATTACTGCTACCTTTCCTAACATAGAAAGTAGTTTTAGATAAACCTTAAACCCGTTGGCCTCTGCAGATGGCTGCTTACTAGGGGTGTAAATCACGTCCATCATGGCGATTCGATTCAGTATCGATTTCCTGACCCAACGATTCGATTGTTTTCGATACTCAAGAATACACCACGGTACGATTCGATTAACTGTATTTCTCTTTTTTTTTTTAACACCTTACAGGCTAGACAATGTTTCAAATTTGAAATAAATCAATGAAAGCTGTAATATAGTTATGCATTTTTTTTGAGAAACAACAGCAAATAACAGAAGTAGAAAAGTTGTACTCCACCTATTCCTATTAAAACCTCATTCACTGAAAAACAATAATACCCCTGCGTTATAGATTCTGAAAGGCCCTGCATCAAAAAATACTGCACAAAATCAGTGCAATGAGTGCAATGCAATACCCTGACTCCAGACGTCCCCGCCCCCTCCACAGACGCTCCGCTGCTCCTCTCCCAAATTGTAGCTGACCGCAGCTACAGAAGAGCGAGGTATGCGAGACCCTGTTTCCACCTGGATCTCCGCTCTTTTTGGCCCTCATGTCCCTCTGTCATCTGACTAAACTCGCCCCCACTTCCTCATCGCCTCGGCCATATCTAGACCCTCAGCGTATAGCGCGGACCACGCTTCAATATTGAGCATAAATCCAAAATGTCTGTGTCAAGCTTACTGCAACACACTGCTGTAAGAGGATAACTAGGAAGCAAGCTAGGATGGCAAAATAGGTTTAGCGCCACCGCAGCACGGGAGGGAGAATTACGTCCAGGAGCAAATGGATAAAAATAGACCGGAGAAAAAAAAAAATGAATCGATACTCTTGCGGACGTATCAATGCATCGAATCGTCGGCTGTTGGATCGATGCATCGATACAAAACGATTATTATTTACACCCCTACTGCTTACACTGAGCCTGATTCTGCTGAAGGCTTCTCCATGTTAAAAGGGAGTTTTTCCTCTCCACTGTTGCTGTATGCATGCTCAGTGTGTGAGGGATTGCTGAAGAGTCAATAACTACTGCCTCTAGCTGTCCATCCAGGAGGATAGAATCTTGGGAAGTCAATGACAGGATGCAATCAGCTGGTTTCCTTATATATATATAAAAAAAACATTGAACCTTTAATCTGACTAATCTGGATCTATAAAGTGACCTGAGATGACATGGTGTGAATTGGAGAAATGGAAATAAACAGATTTTTCTCCCTGTTTCTAATAATCTCTGGTTTCCTGCAGTGAACGAGATCATCGACAGAGACATCGGCACAATGAGCAGCTGTCTGCAGCCTGACCAGTGTGACCAGATCAACCAGTACAGCTGGGAGCACAAAGCCGCCCCTCAATAGTTCTAGAAGCTGGTTCCTTCGTCTGATTCTGCTGTTTGCACAAAGTGTCAAACTGATCTCCAAGTGCCTGAAGACCCATTAGCAGCCTGCAGCTCATCTCCTCTGGGTTCTGTTCTTCATTTTTCTCAGGAAGAAAGCAGCTCGTAGCTAAAAGACATACCAAAGATTAGAATATTTATAAGACGCTGTAATCTGTCTTTAATCCAAACAAAGATTGATTAAGACATCATTTGATGTTTTTTAAGGCCAGTAAACAAACTTTATTTCTGGATGTGCTCCATTAAAGTCCCATTCAGACTCCAGCAAAGCTTAATTGAAGCTCCAAAGAAGCGCTATTTTACAGCTCCGGTGAAACGCCATTAAAGCTCCGGTGAAACTTCCGTAAATCTCCATTAAAGCTCCAATGATCCTCCATTAAACCTCTAATGTAGCTTAATTAAATCTCCAGTGCAGCTCTTTTAAGATCCAGTACAGCTAAATTAAAGCTCTAATGTAACTCCATTAAAGATCCAGTAAAGCTTCATTAAAGCTCTAATGAAGTTCCATTAAAGCTCAAGTAAAGCTTAATTAAAGCTCTAAGGTTCCATTAAAGATCGAGTAAAGCTTCATTAAAGCTCTAATGAAGTTCCATTAAAGCTCAAGTAAAGCTTAAAGCTCTAATGAAGTTCCATTTAAGCTCAAGTAAAGCTTCATTAAAGCTCTAATGAAGTTTCATTAAAGCTCAAGTAAAGCTTCATTAAAGCTCTAATGAAGTTCCATTAAATGTCTAAGGAAGCTCCATTAAAGCTCCAGTGAAGTTCCATTAAGTCTTCATTACAGCTCCAGTTTTTTGCCACGTGGATGTTTTGCTCTGGATGTTCAGCCTGACCTGCTGTGGTGTTTCTTTCCACACAATATATGCTGAGGCTGAAGTAAAATAAAGAATCTGTGAAACAGAAGTTCAATGTTTTTCCTCTTTTCTTTAGTTTTTAATCTGTTTAAACCAGATGTGGCGATCAAAGCCCAGTTCTGAAGGCACTGAGGATTCTTGTTCAGGGTTCGGTTTGAAGTGGACCTGCTTGAATCTTCCGCGGTTGAATGTTTTCTTCTTCCTCTTTGTGGCGATAACTCATTTAAACAAATGTTGGTCTGGGTCTGACTGAACCCAGCAGAACTCCTCTACAGGAGACTCTGATCCTACCGTCCAGCAGCTGGCTCTGCAGCTGTAAATCAACACCGTCCCAAACTCCAGCTGGTCCTCTGCACCGCCGTCCGTCCTCTGCAGCAGGCTGACCAGCGCCGGCATCAGCTGCAGCTCAAAGACCCGAGGTTCTCCACAGGAACCACATGTGGGAATGAGCCGACTTAAGCTGGGCGGTGGCTTGGAGATGAAGAGCGGCGTCCCGTGGCGCTGGTAGCGCAGGATCTGCTGCGGACACGTTGAGATTGTCTTCATGAACCTGGAGAACACATGGTCTCCATGTCTGGCTTTGGTCTTCTCGTACTTCTCCTCGCCGCCGCCCTCGTCCGACCCCCGCACAGCTACGCCCTCCCTCCTCTCGTATTCTCTTAGAAGCTGCTGAGCGTGCTCCAGCTCGTCATCCTCACCGCCCAGCTCTGACTCCTCCAGCACGCTGATGAAGAGTGGCCGGTAGACGGGGACATCTTTAGGTTCTACCAGACTGAGCCGCTCAAGTCCAGAGCTGACATCCATCTGGGAAACGGGTCGACCCACTGGAGGAGAACAAGATGGGAGTCAGAACAGCTCAGTGGTACCAGTTACCATCAATCACAACATGATCAGAACCTAAATGTCAGCTGAAGGTGGAACATTGCCTGACCAATCAGAATGTTTGGATCAATGATGTCAGAGGGTATTTTGGTAAAACCAGGAAGGTCTGAAAATTCCTGACGATTTCTTTAAAGTTTAAATTAAAGATCAACTGTTTTCAGATTCTTTGGGATTTTCCAGATTCCAAATTTCTGGGATGTATAATTTGAGAGAAAATATTCAATATTTAACGAGTGAAACTGAACGATTACATGAAAAGGATCCAGAATTAGCTGCTTGGATCCTTGTTTTCTAAACAGACGGATCCGTTTGGGAAGTCATGCGAGAAACATCTCCTACCCTGGATTCCTCATCTTCTGTTCCAGATAACTCCTGATACTGAGATGTTCCCTCATCTTCTGGTTAAATTAATCTTGTATTTTGTTTCACTGCATTAAAAAGGTAAAGTTGCCATAGATTTTAAAGTTGGAAACATGAACAGTTTGTTGCCGAAACATTTCTGGAGAAGTTAACCAGAACAGATGGGGTGTTTGGCTTTAGAGCTTCCCAGATTGTTATAAATTAAATCAGGAGCTTAATAAAAACAGCTGATAAACTTTCATCCAGGAACCCAAAGAACCTCTGAGTTCTAGAGTTTCTGCTTGCTCAACATTCAAACCTCCTTAGAAATCAGTCCAGAAACAAAAAGGATGAGAACATTTCAGAACCAGTCTCCTGTCAGATCCACCTTCTGTGCGCAGACCTCCATCCTGAAGCTCCTCAGCTCCTCCACCTTCCTCCATCCCCCAGTCATCAGCGGACTCACACCAGTCTGTGGCCGATGGCAAAGCTCCCTGAGGCGGAGGAGGCTGGCAGGGAGCCTCCACCCACTGGGAGCGGAGCGCCGTCCAACCAGCCTGCTGCCCGCTGCAGCCTGGCCGGCAGCAGCCGAACAGGTGGAGGATCCTGTGGAAGGAAGAGCCCTGCAGGGGACAGTACACCTGGACCACGAGGGCCAAAGGGGACCCACAACAACCACACGTGGGAGACCGCGGGGCCAGAACCGGTGGCCAGTCTGGCTGCCCCCCGACTTTGTTGGTCAGAACCGAGGAGCGGAACCTCCTGGGGTCCAGTTCTCCGTCACTGACACCGATCAGAAGCTGATCCTCCGCCATATATGACAGCAGGAACCTTACACACGTAGAGAAAAGTTTCTGCCGGACCGGAAAGAGGCGCAACTGCTTCCGTTAGAGCTGTTTTTTTTTTTTTTTTTTTCAAATCTTTATGAAAGCTAAAGAATAAAGAACAAGAAACATACACAAGTTAAAAAAAATATGCCAGGGTTATGCCACAATAAATAAGTATATATAAAGTCAGAAGAAAAGTAAGAATAAAAAGATACACATGTGAACATTATATATATATATATATATATATATATATATATATATATATATATATATATATAAATAATGCATGTGACACTCCTCAAAAATTTAAGGAACACCACATCAACACATCAGATCTCAATGGGGAAAAAAATCATGCTGTTTATTTATACTGATATGGACTGGGTGATGTGTTAGGAACAAAAGGATGCCACGTCATTTGATGGAAATGAAAATGATCAACCTACAGAGGGCTGAATTCAAAGAAACCCCAAATATTACAGTCCATTTTGCTAATTTTTTTTTGCAGAAACTCCAAATGGTATTCAGTCATTTGTATGGCCACCACGTGCGTGTATGCATGCCTGACAAGGTCGGGGCATGCTCCTACGGATGGCGTCCTGGGGTATCTCCTCCCAGATCTGGACCAGGGCATCACTGAGCTCCTGGACAGTCTGAGGTGCAACCTGGCGGCGTCGGATGGATCGAAACATAATGTCCCAGAGGCCTGTCTCCTGAAATCTCCTCCAAGCTCTTGAGATTGTGCTGGTAGACACAGCAAACTTTGTGGCAATGTGCCATCCTGGAGGAGTTGGACTGCCTGTGCAACCTCTGTAGGGTCCATGTAGTGCCTCATGCTAACAGTTGTGACAGTGACCCTAGCCAAATGCAAAACTGGTGAAAAAGAGTCAGAAAAGATGAGGAGGGGAAAAAATGTCAGTGGCCTCCACCTGCAAAACCATTCTTGTTTTGATGGTTGTCTTGTTGTTGCCCATCTAGTGCACCTGTTGTTAATTTCATTAACAACAAAGCAGCTGTAACTGATTAACAAACCCCTCTGGTACTTACCTGACCAAATCAATATCTCAGAAGTTTAATTAACTTGATGCTGTACTCTGATTACAAAGGGTTCCATATATATATATATATATGTGTGTATATGACTCCGGTCACCTGTGCCGGAGTCGTCGGTGTTACCTACTGAGCTATCCATATATATATATATATATATATATATATATATCCCGGCATGGACATCCAGGTGGACCCTTAGGCAAGGTCCTTTGTGCTTAGTGGCAAGGACCGCGTCAGTTGTTAGGGAACCAGGGCAGAGAGCAGAAAACTTGGTACTGATGAAATGCTACTATACAAGCGTCCCCAGTGAGAGAGGTTACATGCAGAGACTATGGGAATTATGGCAGCTCCAACAACCATCATCGACACTGACAAAGAAACAACTACTAACTCAGTGTTCTAACATCCGCAAACGGCAGCTCCTATCACAACTAGAAATTGATGAGGTACAACTGACATGCTGCAGCAAGGAGGAGTCAGGACAACAGGTCAGTAGGGAGATATCATCATCCCAACACACAGAGATTGGGTCCCCAGCCCCAACACCAACAAGCCCACTAAACGTAAGGGCAGCTGACCTACAACAGCAGATCATAACCAAACTGAATCCCCTAGTACGACGACCAAGACTGCCAAGGCTAAGTGACAGAGTACCCTCTGAAAGTCTTCTAGAAGATGTAAATGCAGCACTGCACATCTTTCTAGAAGATGTATTTACATTTTACATCTAGAAGATGTAAATGCAGCACTGCATACTATCCCTACTAAAGACATAACTGAGACCAA